ATCATCTGATCCAGCGGTAATGGATGACCTTTTATTATTATTATTATTATTATTAAAAAAACTATGAATTTTAATTGATTTGAGATCTTGCGTTTATGTTAAAATTGGTGATTATGACAAAATGGTTTAACAAAACAATTATAGATTCGGGTGTACACTGCAAGGAATGTATTCCGAGATCTTAAAGTTGCCAAAAAGGAGTTTATTGAAGCTACGGTTTGCATTCAGAAGGAAACGGCAAAGATATATGTGCCCAAAATTGTATGCTATTATGGTAAAGATATGTCTTTCAGTATGGATGGGCTTGTTGAAGACATGAATGGATGCCTCTCAGAATCTCAACAGAAGGCTGTTAAGTCATGTGTGAAGGGAAGACCTGAGAAATACATTGATTGGTTGCCACAAAGTTCAAGCTTTAGATATTTGATCCACTGCACAGAGAAGTTGGCCAAGGAAGAGTAGCTAGCTAGCTAAATGTGGCTCAATCTGGCTTTGGGTATTGTTTCTTATTCGCTCGCACCCACCATGGTGGATAGGTGTGTGTGTGTTATGATTTACTTCAGGCTGCAGCCTTTGCTTGCTCTCAACATTCAACAAGCAAAGAGGAGAGAAGCATGACTTGAAAACTGAAGCGGATTCAGAAAGGTGTTGGCTCTTGGGAAAGAGTTATATGGTTATGTGCGTGAGATTAAGAGACGAGTGTTGTTTATCTAACTCTACTTGGGTTATTCTTTGTTACTATTTGGAACTGGGGTGGAGGACTGGAGGTGGTGTATATATTTATCATTATACTTTTTTTTTTTTCTTCTTTTTCTTATTATTATATTATTATTATATACCTTAAAGAAATTAAAGAAAAGTGTTTCGATATTTATTATGGACAGGAAGTGTGCAGCATCATTAATTTGTATTTGTATTCCACATGTGTTTATATATTACTCCTTCGATCCTATTTTGTCTGTCATACTTACTATTTATTGGTTAAAATAATTTTTTTAATTTTCTTTAGTATTTTTTTACTTATTTTTAAATTTAATTTTTCGTATTTAATAGTATGTTTTATGTAGTTTCTAAGTATGTAAATTTTGTATATTAATACTAAACTTAATATTATAAAAAATTAAATTAATAAAATTTCAATCAAGTCTCGTTAATTGAATCAGACATATAAAATGAGACAATGGGAGTATTAAATAATGTTAATGTTGAAAGAGGTCCGGCCAGACCTCTATATTTTATGTTTTAACACACGCACACAAACAATAACGGTATACGAGACATGCAAGTCTTACTTTTACGTTCCATTGACTACGAAAAAAAAAATATTTTTAATTGATAAGAAACTCATTTGCGAAATGAATTTTGTCATATTTTTATCTAACTCTTTTTGTTTTTTGTCCATTTTTTTGATTTTCCCCACCACACCACACATTTAGTCAGGGTCAGGGGCACGAAAGCGAGGCCTCAAGTCCATAGCAGCACAAGAAATTTGGGGTTAGGCCTAGGAGGCCTATTCTATTCTAAATTAGCCCAACCGCCTGCTCGCCCGAACGGAAGAACACAAATAAATAAATACTCCGTATATCTCACTGTGACTAAATTAGAGATGCTGGCATCTTCCGGACTAGTATCGACGGCGCACTTGCAGTTGAGAATTGGCGCTAGGCCTAGGCCTATCAAAACCAGAATCGTTGTTTCTCAGTCGACAACAACAGCAATTGACGATCCTTCTTCTTCTTCTTCCTCCCCCATTTCCATGGCTTCCGCACCCAGGTGGGCTCAGAAAACCATAACCCTTCCCCCTCAAACACGGGGATGTCACCTTGTTACCTCTAAGGTAAGCAGCTATATTCATTCATTCCTTCCTCTGGGTTATTTTTGCTGCTGCTGTATTTTCATGTCAGTATCTCTCCTTTTTGCGCAGATTCTGAAAGAAATTGGTCAAGATTTATCAGGATTCAAATGCGGCCTTGCTCAACTTTTTCGTAAGACAAGCCCTAGCCTAGCCTTTCTTTTGTTACCTGAAATGAAATTCTGTTTGATGCTCTCAGTATCTCTACTTGTTGTTATACTAACTACTGCAACCTCACACCATCCACTTTTGCCAACTCAACAGTGCAACATACAAGTGCTTCTTTGACCATAAATGAAAATTATGACTCAGACGTTCGAGATGACACTGAAACATTTTTGACCAGGATTGTTCCAGAGGTTAGTTTTTTCACCCTAACCCTTACATTCATTTCATTTGCTGCTTTTCTTCCATTCCATACATTCTGTTTTCAATTCAAATCATGCTTTCAGGGAGTATCTGCACCTTGGAAACATACGCTGGAAGGTATGTTTCACACTACAACTTTAATAACACACTGATTCTTATTCTGTGGACTAAATTCTTTCTCAGAGAGTCAGGGTATAATTTTTATTATTATTATTATTCTTTTTGTTAAATAATAACTAGTTTTGCCATTTTTGTGCAGTTAAATGCTTGTTGCCATAGTAAAATTGACTATCATTGTGGTCTTACTTTTAGATCTTCCTTTTGACTGCACAAGTTATAATGACTATTGACACAAAATCCTTAATTAGAAGAAATGGATATGAGCTCAATCTTGTAATCCATGATATTCCTTGGTAGGATGTGTTCCAACTTCCAATCAATTTTCGAAACCGCAATTCTTACTGATTCATGATATATTTTGTTTGGTGATATGTCCACTGATTCTCAATATATTTTATTTCTCCTCTCTCTTTTGGCAGGAAAACCTGCGCTCCCAATATATGGATTCAAAACATGATCTAACACTAGCTTTATGCAATATTTTCCTTCATTATTTGAATGGTAACACTCTTATATTTGAATTGTTGTACTTTTGCAGGTCCCGATGACATGCCTGCTCACATTAAGTCATCAATGTTTGGCTGTAGCCTCATGTATGAACATCTTCAAGTAGTTATATGACACACCTCATTACTTAAGATTGCCATTAACAACAATGTTGACTTTTGTAGGATACCAATAACAGATGGAAAGCTAAACATGGGAACTTGGCAGGTAAGTAGAAGAAAAATCTGTTCCAGTTGAACTAGTTTGAGTCTTGTCCAGTTGTTGTCCATCTTACATCAAGGAAATCCTTCAATTATGCAGCAGTTTAAGTTGTATGCAGGTGATATAAAAGACTTGTTAATGTGCCAAAACATTTTTATTTCCTGTTTATGTCACAGGGAATATGGTTGTGTGAGCATCGGGATGAAGCTACCCCACGCAGAATAGTTATCACCCTTAATGGTATATGAGGCGCAGATGCTAGAGGACACTAGTACAGCATGCTTCGAACTTAGTGTGCAATGTTATTTTCTATAATAATTTAACTATGTTCAACATATTGTGCCTGGACTCCGGGGTTTGTTATCTCCTAATGCTCTATTTGCTTTTGACTCCAAGGTTTGTTATCTCTGACAGTTGCAACACTGAATATGACAATGGGGCTATGAAAGGTTTGGTGCTACTTACTAGCACGGAATAGCAAACATAATTTGCTCAAGCCAATAAAGAATGTTAATATAAAACATTGCTTGCGCCTGCTATACTTATGTCACAATTCTAGCTAGATTCGCAACAATTTTTTCTACACTATTGGATTGTGATACTAATTACGATGCTTGTTTACCTAATGCCTACTTTTGTTATTCCATTATTGGATTTAAATTATTTAATAATTATAAAATGCTTAAGATGAGTATATTATAAGCTTAATTAGATGAGAATAAAATCTTTTGAATATGCAAGAAATCAACTAAATCTCAACAAATATAACATAATTAATATAACTAAAATTTTGAAAGGAATAAAATATGGGAAAAATAAAACAGAAATAGTGTTTCATTGTCGGGTTCACAAAAATAATACATAAAAAACTATACTTAAATATTTGGTTCATTCATAAAATAAAGTAAAATAAAGAATTCAAAATTTTCAATTTACCTCTTCATGATCGGGACGTTATGCCATGGAACCGTGTTCACCATTCATGGTGAACACGGTTCCAACGGTGTTAGTACACCGTTATCTTTTTTTTTTTTTTTTTTCTTAATTAATTGCGTGATTTTTCTTCTTTATTTTCACATTTTGCGGTTTCACTTTAATTTGAGGTGAACAAAGATTTCGGACATTCATAAATTATGAATTTATGCCTGCATATTCATTTTGGAACCATGCTTACACATTCCCGTCCGAAATCACGGACATTCATAAATTATGAATCCATGTCTGCACATTCACTTTGGAACCATGCCTACACATTCACTTTGGAACCATGAGATTATGAATTTTCTGTTATAAGATTATGAATTTTATGTTATGAGATTACGAATTTTCAGTTATGAGATTATGAATTTTCTGTTATGCGATTATGAATTTTCTGTTATGAGATTATGAATTTTCATTACATTTATAATTTCGGACATTCATAAATTATGAATTCATGCATGCACATTCACTTTGGAACCATGCCTACATATTCCCGTCCGAAATCACGGACATTCATAAATTATGAATCCATGCCTGCACATTCACTTTGGAACCATGCCTATACATTCACTTTGGAACCATGAGATTATGAATTTTCTGTTATAAGATTATGAATTTTCTGTAATGAGATTATGAATTTTCAGTTGTGAGATTATGAATTTTCTGTTATGCGATTATGAATTTTCATAAAATTCATAATCTCATAACAGAAAATTCATAATTTGATCAAACGCGCGCCGTTAACTCCACATCCGTGAATTTTATTTTATTTTTTTGCCTAAAAACGACGTCGTTTTGCCTTGTGTTCACCATTCTCGGTGAACACGTTTCCATGGCATAATTTGCCTTCATGAACAGGATATAATCCGAAATACTTTATTTTTAAAAAAAATATTGGCTGAAAAGCACAGGAAAAAATTACATAGTTACACACGGAACTTTAACTTCAACCCCACCCCCATTTTTTAAAAGAAAAAATAAATAAATAAAAAAGCACAGGGCACACCCCATACGGATACGGAAAAGCCACCAGACCACTGTTGAGAAATATTGCTGAAAAAGAAAGGGCTACAGTATAAACTAAAAAAGGCAATGCAAACGCCATTTTTGGTCTTCCATCTATGGTAAGAATGTGAGATAGGAGAATCCAAAATAATAGTCAATACTCTTCCAGCGAGCGACTAAACACGATCAAAGTCCTCTAGGACCCGTCAAAATTTGAGCTCATTAATCATGTTATGGTCAAGATGCCCCCAAAATATTAACAGATGCCGCAAGTTCTCTCAACTGCTTGCCCTGAATCTTGGACACAAGTTCAGCTGAGACAAAATGTTTCGGCAGGTTAGCAAACTCTTCTTCTTTAAGGTTGTAGATGGGTTGAAGTTTTCTTGCTTCAGCATCTGCCGCTTCAGCCTCTTCCAATAAAGCATCAGCCTCTTCAAGGTCACCTAACTCCAAAGCAGCTGATCTCTCCGCTCTAGAAGCCCTGTCAATTAAGATTAGTCCCTGGAATCTAGCCATAGCCAATTCTTTCTCCCTTGATGAAATCTGCACTTCAGTTTCTTGCAGTTTGTCAACAGTTTGGCAAATCTCTTCTTCAACCTTCTTAAGCTCTAACTCTGCAACCTCCAATTTGGTCTGTATTTCATCCTTTTCAATGCACAATGCCTTTGCCTCTGCTGAAAGCCGGGCTGCTTCCTTGAAATTTCTTGCTGTAGCAGCCACCTTCTTCTCAGCCTCAAGCTCTGGAACTCTCTTGTCTATAAATACAAGCCTTTGCTTCAAGGAATCAACTTCTTGCTGGATCTTTGACTTCTTTGAAGATAGTTCCTACAATAACACAGAATGGTGTCTGGATCAACTCGAGAATGAGAGATATGAAGTGAGAAATTGTTGTGCCTCCAGCAATTTACTAAAAATTGCCAAACCTTAGCAACCGATTGCATGCTTACTACAACCCTAGGGTTTATTCAAATGTCCCACCACATTCCTCTCAACAAACATACCACTTCAGATATTGTCTTTCTTAGCATTATTCAGCTACTATTCATTCTAATATGTACATCCAGCTTCTGGATCTATTTGGGCATGAAGGCTGTTATCCTACCTCTCATGTGGCAAGTGTTGAGAATCATGTAAGCTTTAAAAATCTCAAATCTGTGGCACAAGCATGCCATTCATGAAAAAACATTACAATTTAAGCAAATATGCAATTAGTAGACACATGCCCTCTCAAGCAAATAAAGGAGGCAAACTAGATTTTGTTCAACAAGAAGAAAAATACCAGAAATGCCTTTTCAGGCAAGGCAACTTTAGCAGTTTAGCAGTTTAGAAGCAAAGAAACTTGCATCCAAATGTTATATTAGATGCAAGATTGCATCTGGTTGTTAGATCCAAGTGCATATAAAACTTAGGTAGAGCCTCAAATGAATGGGTTTTACATGTGGCATCTATCTACTAAATATATTCGCATTTAACAATTAGCTTTATGCAAGACTTAGTTTGTGCAACTTGCCAACTTCCACAAGACAAATGATCTTTAAAGATTCACAAGATGTAACTTAACAACAGTAATTGAAATTCTTACCAAAAGAAAGAAAATAAAAATATGGAATTTAAATGATAAAGGGTGAACTGATGCATAACGCTTGTGCACTATGTATGGTCTAGGAGGAAAGAAAGATAAATGCAATCTTAACTCTGTTTCCTAGTAGGTTGTTTACATTGCTTGAAAGACTCAACCTTCGTACATTAATTGAACAACAAATTTTTAAGTAGATTGATATACCCAAGTAAAGACTAGGACTTAAGCTCCCAAAACTGTAATAATCAGTATATGCCCAAGCTGCAATTGGTGTGTGAGTGTGTCTTGAGTATCTGGAGCACTAGGTTTATTTTAAAAGAGTAGTTGAGGTTGATGTCTAAAAAACATAGCAAGAACAATGAGAAAATTCATTTCTGCACCAGTTGGCTACTCTCTTCTCAAAGATAGATTTCTCTACTCAATGATTTGTTGAAGTTGTGTCCTCTATTTAGGGTGGTAGTCAACTAGAATAGGAGAGATGTTCTATTACTAGTGAGTGTAGTGTTACTGTGAACTTGTGTCATATCTGTACAGCTCGGAGGGACAACAAGGTTAAGAAAAGGACCCTGAGATAGTTAAGGGGGGGGGGGGGGGATCAAAATGACAACTTTTCAGTTGGATCTTTTTACAAAATACAGACTGCAAGGAATGGTTCTTCTTTCCCTGGAAAGAGTGGGAGGTAATCTGGAAAACCAAAGCCCCCTAAGGCTGGACATCTTTACTTGTACAGCACCTCATGATTGAACATTAGTGCAAGATGATCTGCAGAGGAGAGAAACTTTTGACTAATAGATTTTATATATATGGTAAAACATCTATAGTCACTTATATGTTTATATATGCAGCAAAGGGGCAGAATCAGGCAACCATCAACTTTTGCATGTGAATAGGCACAAAGGGGCAGAATCAGGCAACCATCAACTTTTGCATGTGAACTGGCTGTGCCCATCTGGAATTTGCTTTAGTTTTGGAATGCACTGGGTCATGCCAACATTCATCAAGGAATTTTTATTGGTTTGGAAGTATGCCATGTGATAGTGCACAATGTGGTTTGAAAGGATGAAAGGGAGACAAGGTGTTTCGATAAACTAGGATCTCCTATGGCATAGAATTAAGTGGAGATGTGAAATACGATGATTGTGACCAATACTTAAGTAGCACACTATCACTAGTAGTCTCTTGGGGAAAAAGAAGAAGAAGAAGAAAACAGAACTAACCTGAAGTGAGGTTCTCGCAGTAGAAATTCCGTGTTTGAGCATCTGGACGTGCATTGAAAGTTCATCCTCAGTTTTTGAAAGCCTAACTTTATCCTCCTTGGATTTCAAAACTAACTGAGCCAGACTCTTTCGTAACTCAACAAATTCTTGAAACATGTTTGCTTCATCTGCAGAAATCCTAGAAAGATCCCTAATCTTTGCTCCTCTGGATTCTTCCTGGGAAACATAATAATCAATTTCTTTCTTTTTCTCCAATACAGATTCATTTGCCAACTCCAGTTCAGACAGACCAGACTGCAGATTATGATAATTTTGATCCATATTAGTTTGGACTTCTTTGAATCTAGAGACAGCACCAGCAATTCTTTTGTCAACTTTTTCAATGAGAGAATCATTTTCTGCTATTTCTTCTTCCTTTTCTTTCACTAGAGCAAGCAGTTTTTTCAGCTCTTCTGTTAACCCTTCTTTTTTCCTGCAAAGAAAATCTCTCTCTCTTCGGTCATCCTCAACAAATTGTTCTATGGAATCATTCAAAACCTTACGTGCCTCATCTACTAATTCAGATTCAATTTCCAACTCCATCTTTTTAATTTCTATTGCTTCAGCAGACAAATCCCATTCCTGCATTTGTTTGGATGATAATTCTTCTGCATTATTTAAAACCAAATCTGCATCGCGTGCGGTGTCCTAATAAAAAAAAAACAATCTCCTTTAGAATGACAGCAATGCAATTACTGAATGCATAGGAAAACTTTCTGGAATAGACATGCAACTTTAATAAATTCAGAGAACTGAAAATAAACGTATAAGGCAAGCTAAGGATAAATTGTTAGAGTATCCAAGGTGTTATATTCTTGGGACAGTAGGAACATTCTATCCGTATTTAGTGTTGACAAGGCTCCCAATGTTCTAGTGTATCCAAGGTCAGAACTCAGTATCTCACTATGCACGATGATTTGGTTCACTCATTTACACACTACTTTACTTTAAAACTAGAATACTCTATATATACTCCATAATTGACAAAATATAAAAGCCAAACAGTAAGTACTAGAAATTGATACCAAAACTATTGTTGAATTAGAAAGAGCTCACCATTGCAAAGGTCTGCAACATAGAGGCACACTCCTCTTCGACTTGAATTAATGACTCAAGAACCCCTTGCATCTTAGAGTCAAGAGCATCACAATGGGCTTCTGCATCTCTGAGAGCAACTACCAAGCACTCTTTTTCCTTCTCTGTGGAAGCTAAACTCTCACTGACCCGTTCCGCTTTCTCAAAGTCTTCAGCTTCACAAGCTTCTTCCAGCTTCTTCTCAAATTCTTTATACTCAGCATATGCCTGAGTCACACTCCGGGCAGCTTTTCTTCTCATCCTAATTGATTCCTTTCTTTCTGAAGAAATGGAAGAAACAGTCTCATGGGCTTCTTTAAGCTTATTTGAAATAAGGATCCTAAGCTGTTGGAATCTGAATTCAACTGGGTCATGACTCTTGCTAACATTTAGTTGCCCAGTTGTTGCATCTTCACCAACACCAGATGAAGCCAGATTAGCGATTTGCTCAGGTGTGTCATTAGAATGAATACCATGAGAAGTTGTATCAGATGAAGAATCGCGATCCTGAGCTGCAGAAATCATGCTGGAGGAATTCGATTCTTGATCTTCTTCTTCTTCACCACCACCACCACCACCATCATCATCATCATCATCTTCTTCTTCTCCTTGCTCTTTTTTCTTCTCTTCTGCTTCCGGGAAACGGGTATCAATATGCGAATGGTCATTGGCAGTTGAAGTGGCAATGACTGAATCGGAGGCATGATATCTATCTCTATCTCTATCTCTACCATATCCAATCCGTAAACCAGCCCTCTTTTTCTTCCGGGTGGAATTCTGGCGAGAAATTAGCGAGATTGACGATGGATCGGAGTTGGACTTAATATCTTCTAGTTCTAGGGATTGGGAAGGAGTAACAAGTGTAAGATCAGAGAATAGGTTCTCATCGAGCGGCTGACTAGGACTCGACTCTGCTATTAACGGCAGCGCCGGCGGTTGATCCGCACCGACATCGAGAGTGGCAGCGGTGGTGGAGGGTTGCTGGTCTAGGTGTTCAGAAGGATCAAAGAGTACCATCCCCTCGAACAGTGAGGCCATATCATCGTTCTCTTCCTCCGCTGCCATTTCCAATTTCTAATTTGATTGCGTTTTTCTTCTTTGTTTGCTAAATAAACACCAGTACACCACGCCAACGCTGCTCCAAAGCTTGTCGACACGGCAGGCAGGTTCTGCTTTTTTCTTTTTTTTAGACGAGAGCCTTAACCCGACTTCTTAGTTCTTATTCAGTCAGATCAATGTAGTTACGTAGAGAGGGGAAGAGTCCAAATAAGCTACGCATCAAGTAAGAATTTTCCAGTAATTTTTACTTTCTCACAAAAACTTGTATGTCAGTTTTTATTCGTTAAACGGGTTCTGATGTTATTTGATTGTAATTGAATTGTAACTCTATGAAGGACATAATTATATTGTTTGATTGTAATTCATAGGGTACAGCTTGTGGAGAAGGGAAAAATAATAGAAATGACAAAATTATCCTTAATGGACCATATTACTATTAGAGTTAATTCCAGCAATGGTCCTTCGACTATTGTGATTTTTCAAAATTAGTCATTGTCTTTTAATTTGAACGAATTAGATCCTTGACTATTAAATTTGTTCCAGCATTAGTCCTTCCGTTAAATATCCGTTTGTTAGGTGTTAAGTAGAGGGGTACAAAGGTCATTTCCTCTTACTACCTTCTCCCACCAACTCCATTGCTGTCAAACCCATCGCAATGAAGATCTGTTCTTGTCAATTTGTAAGGAATTTCAAGCTAAGGAGAGGAAACCTGGGGGAGAATCAATTATGATGAACTGTAGTTATAGTTCCATAGAAGCATTTTTGCTTGACTATGGGCGTAATGGCTAATGGCTACAGCCTTAAACCCAGCACTTTCTATCAGAAGTCTCCAATGATCTTTGTATTCCACTTCCACACACTCTCTTTTGGCACCCTGTTCCTCAGGCCTCACCAATTCCGCGATTCTCCGGACAAGTAACAGGCTTTCAACCTTCACCCTCTTCGGCGAATCTCGGGTCATGTTTGGATCCAGAAACTCGAATATGACCAAGTAGTATTTGAGTGCGTTCTTGAATCTCTTCGAAAATCCGATCCGGTTCAGGCTCATTTCGTATTCTCCCAGAGTTACAATGTTATGGTTTCCCTGTAGATATACCCCCAAAAATCCCACCTCCTTGTAGCTTACTTTTTTCCTGACCATTGAAATAATTTTTCCATGAGAAGTCGATAGAAAACATTAAAATTACCAAATTGCATTTGCTTTGTAAACTTTTATTTTTATTGTATTAATAACTGACAAGTTTTGCATATCACAGATGAGTTGCAAACACCTTGGATTTCAACATGAACTATGATGCTAGTGTTTTCAAGACAACCATAAGGTTTAATTTGCCTTTTTATGATTTTGTTTACTTTTTCTAGTTACTCGAATTGCAAGATCATCTCTGGGATTGCTTCTGCTCTGTGATCATTGTTTTGGTGTGTTTTTACAATCCAGAGTCGTAGATGGACTTCTTAGTGCACTGAGCAGTTTGAATTTATTGCTCTTTCTCAAAGGACACTATACCCAAAGTATCAGCAGAAGGTAATTCCAGTAGACTCTTGAAGTTTCTTCTTCACTCATCCAAAATATATGAAAAAATTATTATGATCTACACGTGTGTCTATTTAGAGGTAATATTTGATGGGAATGGTAGAACTTTCGCAAAATCGCGAAACAGTCACCGGTTGCCAACAGTGACGCCGCTGGGGAGTTTGCGAGTACCAGCGAGGGAATGCTGGAAATTCGGATGCTGTCAGGCTTACTGCCGGACCTGGTAGCCAAATTAAAGCCTGTAAAAGAGCAGCCCATTGAATTCCCTGAACAATAGCAAAATCGATTATATGAATCTTCGACGCTTTTTGAGTAGCTTCAAGGATTGCTTGATTTGCAGTTAGATGAGCGAATTTGGAGTACGAACATGCGTCGTTGAGGGCTTTGGATGACAGCGTGAGCTTTTCTGACAAAGTAATGGTTGATGGAGTTGTGGAATAAGGCAATAAGAAGAAATGACTTTTGTACCCCTCTACTTAACACCTAACAAACAGATTCTTAACGGAATGACTAATGCTGGAACAATTCTAATAGTCAAGGGTCTATTTTGTCCAAATTAAAAGACGAGGACTAATTTTGAAAAATCGCAATAGTCAGAGGACTATTGCTGGAATTAACTATTATTATTATTATTATTATTATTATTATTATTATTATTATTATTACACAAGGATATTTTAGTCTATATATTACTTTTTCTTTCTTATTTCCAATAATTATATTAGTCCATACCAAACAATGTAATTTGAATTCCTACCTTATTCTTTTCTCACCGAATTACAATTTCTTTCATTCCTCCTAACCAAACACCCTAGAGCGTCTCCAACAAGAGATTTTACCTAGCTTTTAGAATAGTAAAATTTTGCTTAATGAGTTTTTAATAAATGGGGGTGTTGCATTTTGGAGAAATCTTTCTCCTGCAACACCCCAGGTTTTGTCAAAATTTTATTTTTTTAAAAAAAGGTGAGCAGGTCTGCCGCATGGGCGATTGAGAATGACTGCCACCCACTCTCAATTGAAGACTAATTTCTTTTTAAACATTTATTTTAAAACTGCAACGGCCAGTTTCTTGTTTTTATTTTTAAATTATTAATTTAATTTTTAAGTTATTATTGTTATTAAATTTATATTTATTAATTAAATTAAATTTATATCTTTAGATATGTTATACGTATGTTCATATTTACGTATGTTCATATTTACGTATGTTTATTCATAGTACTATATCCATATTGTTCATTCTATTTTAACATTATAAATTTATAAATCAAATAAATAAAGAAAAATTAAAATATGGAAATAAAATGGCGGGTCCACAAAAAGTTGTGAAAACGTAAAATTAATGGGAAGACGAGTTTTTGTGATTGAGTGGAATAATGGATGATGATGTGGATGTTGTGGCCCACAAAAAAAAAATAGGGAAAAACCTCCAACTACTGATGATCGCAAATTATATTCTGCAACCGTGTGCACCATGCACACAGTTGCAAAAACGACGTCGTTTTGACTAAAAACGCGCGTCCCATCTAAAAAAAATATGGTCCACACAATAATGATTGAATTTTGAAGGTTATGGAGGAATCTTAGGGCAAATTATGCTGTGAAACTGTGCAAGGTGGACACGGTTCCAAAACGGCGTCGTTTTTGTGGGAAACGACGCCGTGTCAATTAAAAAAAATGGCTTTCTTTCGCCGTTAACGACGTTTGTCTTCAGGAAGTCTATTTTCATAATTACTGAACTCTATGTTCATAATTATAGAACTCTATGTTCATAAGTTGTGAACTTCATAGTCACAGTTATTGAAGTCTATATTCACAATTACAGCACTATATGTTCATAATTTTTGAACTCTATAAGTCTATGTTCATAATTATAAAACTCTCTGTTCATAATTTTTGAATTCAATATTCACAATTATTGAACTCTATATTCACAATTACATAATTCTATATTCATAATTTTTGAACTCTATATTCATAATTCTTAAACTCTATATTCACAATGTCTCACTAAGTTATCTTGACAATTTTTTTTTTTTTTTAATTATTATGATTGGTGGAGGAATGTTGTTACTCCAAAATTGCCAAACGGCGATGTATTAGGACTGTGTCCACCTTGCAAGGTGGACACCGTTCCACGGCATAACAATTGAGCCCTATTACAGGGCGTTTTGTTGGATGTAATTTAGTTGTAATTGAATTGTAATTCAGTTAATGCCTCAATTACATTGTTTGGTTGGAAGAAATTGTAATTCCACCAAATTGCAAATTCTCTCATTTTGTTGAATTGTAATTCATGGGATACCCCCATGAATCGGTCGTTATATCGTGGACCGCGGTGCACGTGCACCACTGTCAAAATGACGCCGTTTCTTTAAGTAAAGAAATAGCGCGTCGTTAGTGTTAACGGAGCGCGCATTTTTTTGTATGTTAATTACCAACTGACACTACAATGTATCTAAACCGACACTGTCTCACGTATTATTTTTATATTATCAAATAAAACTGCAGTTATATCAAAATGATACTGTAGTTGTGGTGAAATGAAACTGCAATGTATATCAAATGAAACTAAATAACATTTCACATATTTGAGTGTATATTGTACAATAAATTGAAGCTGTAATTATATGAAAATAATCATGTAGTTGTGTTTTAATAAAACTATAGCGTATATAAATAAAATTAAATAACATTTTCACATATTTGAGTCTATAAATATCGAATGAAACTGTAGTCATATTGAAATGAAACTGTAGTTGTGTTAAACTGAAAATGCAGTGTATACAAAATGAAACTGAATAACAGAATTACTTTTTGCGGAAGGGTGTGAAACGGCGCGAAACGGATGCCGTTTCTTTTCATTAAACAAAACGACGTCATTTTGATGCGCGATGTATTATATTTTTTTTATTTATAATTTAGTATTATATTTACTAATTTAAGCATTATATTTGTATATTGACTTGATTCGTCACACGAATAAGGATCAGTCTCATATAAGTGTGATCCAAGATTAAAATATATTTCAAAAATTTATAAGTTATATAACAATAACTAGTATTTTCTATGTGCAACAAATTATAACCAATATTTATATTTTTAGAATAACTAATAAATCATTACTAATTTTTTTTTTTTTTTGAAAGCTACTGGTTCTATTACATTGTAGTATCTGTTCATATACTTTCTCAACCTACTGAAACTGAGGCTCAAACTCATAATCTTCCAAATGGAAGTCCAACCCGGATACCATTAGACCACATAGTCCTGGTAAATCATTACTAATTTAAATATATATATATATATATATATATATATATATATATATATGAAGTCAAATTTATTTATTATATTAATCTAATATATAATTTCTACAAATATTGTTATCATTAAAATATATAAGAAAATATATGGTGGATACATGTACATGGTAAGAATAATGAAAAATATTACAAAAGTTATAATAGTAGGGGTATATTTGTTCAGAAAATTATATAATACACTCTAAAAATATAATGTACAAAATAATTAGCACTAAAAATATGAATATAAATTAGTGATATAATTTTGATTAAGAGTTATTATGTTTTTAGATTTAGATATAAATAATAATATAACATAAAACAATCC